CTCTCTCTCTCTCTCTCTCTCTCTCTCTCTCTCTCTCTCTCTCTCTCACTCTCACTCGTTCTCATTCTCAGGTGTGCGCGTGCGACCAACCGATGCACAAATGATACCCACATTGCACATTGTGCACATGCGGTGCATTGTATCGACTTCTTTCCCCTAATCTGTATGTTAAATCGCCAAAAACGTAATGAAAATCGTTTTAATTATTAAATCAATTTATTAATTTGTTTCCTTGAATGGGCGCTGCATACAAAACAGGTGTCAAAGAAGGTATTTTGTATGCTGCTGCTGCTGCTGCTACGCAGCCTAATTGACGAGATAAATTTCTGCACACTTAATAAAAGTAGCAGCAGGTTCATTGTGCACCAAATGTGAGTGTGGACGATCAACGACTTTATCAACAAATTGCATTCGCGTGCTCACACAATTTTTACACTAATTTACCAAAAATGAAAAGAAAAATGTGAACAAAACTTCTGCCAGCTACCGATCGCCACAGCACCACATTGTTGAACATATGTTTTTTTATGCGTTCATTTTGCAATGAATTATTCATAAAAAAAAAATTATGCTGATCGTGCGCGCACGGTCCATTGTGCGAACGCAGGTGACCACGTGTGATTAGAAATGCACACCAGCCCATTAACAAATCGATTAGTGTCCGCGTACGCGCTCATACACAACTTTACAGACTTTGACGCCGGTGCATTAGATGAATAATGTGAAATGGAATGTGTCGGCTATGTGACAAAAATGGCATTTCTAGTAATGTGTGTTTTTTTTCCGTATCAATCGCGGCCTAATTGAGAATGCGCATTTTAATTGGGAATTTAACAAATTAATTATGATGATTAAGAAAAATCGCGACTGTGTTTTTGTTTTTGCTGCTGTTCAGAGGAAGAGCGATACCACTCTCGTAACAATACTCTATCAACTTTTAGTTATCCTTGTTGCTATTCATAAATAAATGCAACGCTATTTATTTGTTCTGCCCCCAGATTCAACTTGCAATCGTTGCAATACTTTGTTGTGTGTTTATGTCTCAATCGGAATCCGAGAAGCGATCACTTCTAATGCAAATAAAATGATGTAACCGCATTCGAGTATTGCACTTGGATTTTGCGGGCAAAATGTTTTTCTCTCACTCAATCGATCATAATTGCATTATTTTTCACCGCGTGCGCCTATGAATTATTCATCACAAACGGAATTTATAAATAAACGTCGAGCCAAGCTGTGTTTCGTTCAGCCGATGAGAGGTTGTTCTCTTTCGTTTCTTTTTCTTTTGCGTTTTGTTTTTGTTTGTCTGTTAGTTTAATGACAATTGAATTAGATGTGAATAAATTGACTGCATAATAATGATTGTAATTAAGTTGCAATGTTTTAAGACACAAGGAACTGTTGGAATGATTGCGCACATCTGTGCATTGTGCGCCAGTGCAACAACAACAACAGAAGTAAACCGAGTCACATACATTTTGCAAGCGATTGTAAAACAACAGTATTTAAACGAGAGTAATTGTTCAAAGTGTTTTTGATAGTGAAATCTGAATCGAGTATTGCATAAACGAGAATCAGTCAGACGGTCATTTGCATTACGTCGACGATTTATAGCACCGATAAACGCCGCACAATCAACTCACAGTCACACATTCTGTTCAAAGGTGGTTCTATTTTCAATCAAATTTATTGCAATGACATTGGGATTTCAGTGAACTTCTTGACGCGTCGATTCTGATTTTTTTTTCTCCTTCTTCTTTATTTTCGTGTGTATGCGCGCTTTTATTGGATTTTTGCCGAGATCCTTGTTGTAAAGGTGTCGGTATCTGTGCCCATGATTCAAAAAACAAATAAAATTGATTGATTGACGAACAATGATTGCTTTTGTGTGTCATATAAGGCCATTCCATGATTTTTTGCTAATTAGATAAATGTTTGATAGAGTCTTAAAAGCATTTCGGTTCAAGTAGTCTCTCTCTCTCTCTCTCTCTCTCTCTTTGCATACAATATTTTTTAATTACCAATTAACACTTGAGCGCTTCACAAGAATCTGAAACAAATTCATTCGCTT